TTCGTTCTATTTCACGAGCTAACGTTTATGATGTGTGAGTCAAATCAAGTAAAGGCGAAGAGGAATGGCCCTGAGGGGAAGGGGAGTCCTCTATGCAAGCAAGATTCGGATCACGAATTTTAGGGTTCAACAGTCATCACCAGGGCGCATAATGCTCACACGCCGCTTGCGTGGAGTCTGGTTTGATGAGAAAAGGGGTCTCGACTGAGAAAAATGGAGATTTCCACTGTTGGAGCTACTATAGGGAGAACTGAGGTAGGCAAAATTGGACTTCTTTGTCCTAGGAGGGGAGGAAGTTGCATTATAGCACATGCTGGGTGATCTCCAAAAGCATTATTCTTAGCTCCGCCTGTAGGTTTTCATGAATTGTCGGTAACTTTGGTGACTTTTTATAACCACTAACCAAAAGGCGTAAGCAGTTAGAGAAAAAAGCGTTAGGATTTTGCGATTCGGGCGATCTCGTGACAAAGAATAGGGCAAGAAATTCTTTAGTTTGATCCTCGAGTAAAAGCAGTGTCGCGACGACGATACGCGTGAATTAGTGGGATCGATGTGATTCAGCGAATCGCAAATCCCCAACACTTCCGAAGCAACAACTCAGGTAAAGCAGAGGTCATTTGCACAGAGGTGAATCACCTGCGAACTGGACCGCTACTACTGGAGTGATACTCCTCGGTATTCCGCCTCGGAACCGATGTTCCACGAACACTGAATTCGATGATATTATATGAATGTATGTCAGCACCATTTGTAAGGACTGATACACAATCCCAACTGGAAAGATGTTGGACACTGGAAAAATGCTGCTTCGAATCTTTGAGTTTTGACAAACTCAAAGATTCGAAGCAGCGTTTAGACTTCGCCTCGACGTGCTGTAACGCGCTATGAGGCGCGTCGACGCGCTAAAATCACAACAGAACTTCAAAGCTGTAGACACGGAAACAGCCGCACACGGCAAATCCCAATCGATACCATTCTGCTTAATCAGGCAACACCCACCATTCTTTCCCCCCC